AATTAATTCATGAAAAAACCTGATTTTTGTGATTCTAAAACTTGGGGCCTAACTTTTGATTTCATGATAGATAATACATGATCCATGAATTTTTCCCTTTTTATTGTTCCACTATTATTTAGTCGTATTAAAAATTCAAAATCTTATGTTATTGTCGTACTTGTGTCCTAAACCATTTTTTTCATTGCATTTTTATTATTAATCATTCATTAATTAGTACATCTTTTATTGATAATAGTTTCTGCCTAACGTACATTAAAATGTAGGGAAAAAAAAACGAAAAAGTGCGACAAAATATTTGTTCCATATTTTAGAGTACGCTAACGAAAGGACATAAATCATCATCAAATATGAGATATGCTAATTAATAGAAGATTGGTGTTTAAATTAAGACAAGAAAATGACAGACAATAAGTTTTAAGTAAAGAAAAAAAATATTTATGGTGCGTTTGATTGCTAATATTTTTCGCAGAAAATGTGTTTTTTCACCTAATTTCCTACTTTTGTGCTGTTTGATTGACACTTTTTTCCACGAAAAATATTTTCTTACTTTTGGTCACGTGACCATATTTTCCTTGAAAATAAGGAAAATATTTTCTTTGAGGAGATGTGATTTTTATTTCATAAGTAATTCACCATCTCGTTCTCTCTCTCATCTATTCAATTTCTCTTATCTACTCATCAATAAAAAATAGACAAGTATAATATTTTTTAAGTTAAAAACTAAAGCAATCAAACACATTTAATTACTAATTTTCATACAAATAATTTCTATGCAATTGAGTTGCTTAAAATTTGTTTTCTTTCCATACAAATTTCATGTTCGCAATCGAACGCACCCTTATTGTAATTAAAAAGTGATGCAACAAAGAAAATATTGATAATATTGTTCAAATAGTAAGTTTATTTACAATCTTGAGGAGCAAGCTTATAATCTCAAAAAGCTTTGTCAAACAAGAGCCAATTTTAATCAGATAAAATTATATTTATTTTTAATAACTTTTTCTTTAGTTAGAAACGCCACGAGTAAAGACAAAAGGAGCTGGCCATAACCTGACCAAATATAAAAAATAAACAAAATGAATGTTTGACCATATTTAAAAGTTTTATTAATAATAAAGTAATTTTTGAAAATTATACTTAACAAAATAATTTAGTTAATCCAACAATCAAAGTGAATATTGCAACACCATTACCGTAAATTCTATCGCAACATATAAATCCATTGGCATTTCAACGTACTTGTGAAAAATTCGATTGTGCTCAGTACAATAATTGTGCTAGAGTTACACTATCTATCGGTGAAAACAAATCAAAATTGAAGATCACAAATAGACCTAACTCTTCCAACGAAGCCAAACCATACATCCCTCGCCTCGGCCAACAATTTTCTAGTCAAGTTCCAACCCCGCCATCAATACTTACTATTCCTAAAAGTTGGGGGATTCGAATTTAGCAGCATGTTTGATTTCAATTAATTTATTTTATGATTTGCTACTACTCATTCACACAATAAAATATTCTACACGTTCTCCCAATACTTTTCCCAGCATTTAACTATACATTCTATTAAAAATACTATTCAAAACTCTCTTTTTTCTAATTAATGGGAATCAAACAGGCACTTAAACGGTGGATTGTGCCACCATAATAGAAGTTGGATTATTGCCACCATAATATTACAATGTATTAATCCTTGTTATAAACACTACAAAAATAACCATCACCTCATATGCTCTCTCCATTGGAGCCAACATCACCACCACGATCAGAAACTAACTCCGATATATTGACACCAAATTCTTTCCTCGTAAATACGAAATCCTTCAAATTTTGAATATAATCAAATTTTATCAAATTTGATACTTTGAAATGGACGAATTTGAGTTTAATTCAAACCGTAACATGACAAGCCATTATTCATGCCTCCGTCAAATATCATTTCTTCTCTTGCTATGGGCCCACGTCACATTTATGCATTTTCAGAGCTTCAATACAAATCCGTTCCCGTTGCATCATAATTTGGAGTCAAAACAGTATTTTGATGGAGTTATGAGTGATAATTGGTGGGGGTATATGTACAGAAATTCATTTCTACTCAAGTTTATTTTATTCATTTAGGAGTCAACTTTTGTTTTGCCAAAAAAATCGATTTTTTTAAAATAATTAGGATCAAACATACGCTATAATATATGACAACTATCAATTATCAAATTCCCATTTATTCTTAATAATAACTCCTTTAATGTTTATAAGCTAGAAAATTAGAAATACCGTTGACAAAGGAGCAGGTCACAACCTTACCAAATACCAAATAAACAAAACTCAACTGGGAAATCAATAATGCAAAACCATTACGGTATACTCAACAACTGCGTTATTGGTGGTAAGATTATACCAAACGGTTTGTGCAGTGGCGATGCCGCGCGCCAACCGGAAAACACCGGAGCCGCCAACGATAGGCATTTCCCGGTACTTGTGCAAAATCGGATTATGTCCAAGTACACTAAGCGTGCTACCATTATACTTGCCATCCGTGAAAGCCAAATTTAGGATCATGAGTAGTTTCAACTCTTCTAGTGAATCCGAACCGTATATCCCTTGGGCTCGACCCATGATCTTCGAGTCGGGTTCCGGCCCCACGCTTAAAAGATCATCTGCTACACTTACTAGACCAAATGAAGTTGGGGACTTGAATGTAATGTTGGATTGAGCCACCGTATAAGAAGTTATATTCTTGCCACTTACCGTATCATGAAAGTAGAAATGAAGTTTGGTTAATTTTTCTTTCGCATATGGTAGCTTTTCGAACCACTCTTCGACGGCTTCTGGCCCTTCTTTAAGGCCACCTGCGGCAGCAGTACTAGTACTGATAATCACTAAAGAGCAAAGCATGAAAATTACGCATGGCTTCGCCATTTGTTATTTTTTATCTATGATGAAGATAGTATTATGCTATATATATAGCTGATGGGTAATGGGGCGCTCTTGTGTTACAAGATTCCGTTGGAATAAGGAAAAAAATGATTTATTATTAAAATTTTATCTAGAAAAGTCATGACAAAAATTATCAATTGAAGTATGGAAAGAATGAATTCTTTCGCCAATCACTTTTGATGTTTTGCCTTGTGAGACAATATAGTGAAGTGGGCTCCACCTTTTGATCATCCAATTCTTGTGGAAAAGACGTTATAATCTTGTTGTGTAGTACTGTTAATTCTATCTGATGCTCGACTAATGTTGAAGTAATCGATGATGGCAGTGAGATTATGCACGCAATGTGGAGGCCACAGAAGTTCAAAGCCATATATTTATTGGCGACCCTTTATGTGTTGACACTGACTCTTCCTTCAGCAGCAGCAGTATACTGGGCATTTGGAGATGCTCTTCTCAATCACTCCAATGCATTTTCTCTTCTTCCAAGATCCCCCTTCAGGGACATGGCTGTCATTTTGATGCTCATCCATCAGGCATGCATACTCTTACTTTTGTTACAATCATGCCACGTGACAACATATAATTAGCTAAAAAAATATTCTCGCCGAATACTTTTTGAACGTCAATAAAGTGTATACAAAGATGTCAACCAAATGACGTACACCTATTATTCCTTTTGCTAACACTCTTGTAGTCATTCTAAATACTCATTTGAGAGGACTTCTCGTTTGACTTTTGCTTATCTCAAGCTAACTTTTTTTTAAAACTCTTTTAATCAAAAAAGTTACTTTCGAAAAATTATACAAACATGATCAAAAACAGCTTCTAATCTCGTAAACAACTTTCGACTTTTAAAAAGCTCTGCAAACTGGACGGTAAGAATTAACCTATTTGATTGTTACATTCATGTAGCTCATTCAAATTTATTGAAAACAAGCCTTGAAAAAAATGATCCAATACAACATACAGGTGTGGGTGACTCCAAATCTATTGAGAACAAACCT